TCTGGCTATGTGGCTTATAAAGACAGCTGAGCCCAAGAAATAGTTTGAAAACTGATATTCGGGATATTTATTGTATATGTAACTAAAAAAAATGCAGCGTATACTTCACACGGTTACAGTGGTAAAGTCATGATAATTTACTGACTACCTCATAGTCCCAGTTGATATATTTTCCAAAATACAAGCAGTTCTGTTACAGATATGTATTAAAATAGTTATCCTAGGTTCCCTGTATCAGTTTTCTCTAACCTAGTGCCTTCCTTGATTTATTGGACCAAATTCTAAAACCCTCAGCTAGCATCAGGCAGCCTGGGAGTTGGGGAAAAGATGGCCTCTGTTACATCTCATTTCATGAGTTGAAGCTCTCACTGTGATTTTCCTTGCTTACAATCCATGTTTGTTAGTGATTATTTGGAAATCAGTTATTGCGACAGTAAGTTCTCCCAAGTACATACGTGATCATTTGGTCTGGTTCAATGTGATGGTTTTTATCTTTTTAAAAAGTTGAGTAAAACAATCCAAATAACACTGCATTTTTTTTCTTGAATGTTGTACAAAGGTATGCATGGGAAGATATACTTCCTTGTAATCAGAAAAGGAACATTTATTTTGGTGTTGAATTTCTTGAGCATATTTGATTTTAGTCTGGCCATTCAATTGAAAGTTTGGCTGTAGACCCAACATTTTAAGCCTCCTAGTGAGGTAGCCCTTCAGTCAAAAATCCTGGTTTCAGAATGCTAAAAAAAAATACATGTTGAAACAAAGCTACTGCACATAAACAGGAAAAAAAACCACCAAACTAAGGTTTTTAAAAATAACATTCCCAGCCTTTTCAAACTAATGCATACAGGAGGTGCCAAGGTAAGGCTTGTATTGGCATGACGAGTCATATTTGCAGAATATTAGTCCTGTGTGTGCAGATAAACCAAACCTTTTTCTCAGGGGCAACATGTAATGCTTATTCACAAGTAGTCAGCTGAGAATGAAATCAGCTCTGGAATTTAAGGAATGCTGGGCCAAGCAAACAAGCCATGGAATCTAGATCTTTGTTTAGAGACTCATTTTGATAGATGATGTGTCAACACTTTTTCTCCCCTCTTACACTGAAGTATTTTTCTCTGCATCTGTCTATATAAAGATTAGCTAACCTATGGTGGCAGGCACCAGGCTGCTACTAGAATATCTGTCCCCCAGTTTTCCCTGTCCTCCCATCACATTTACCTTGTGTTTGGATGAAATGATTCTGCTATGTTTTCCTGGCAATGCCACCTGTGGCAACTAATGGATATGGAAAATTCATGACATCAGATTATAAAGTATGGAAAACTACAGGTAGTCCTCAGCTTACAACTACAGTTGACCCCACAATTCCTGTTGCTGAGTGGTTCAGTGAGTTTTGCCCCATTTTACGACCTTTCTTGCCATAGTTGTTAAGTGAATCACTGCAAGTTGTTAAGTTAGTAACATGGTTGTTAAGTGAATCTGGTTTCCCCATTGACTTTGATTTTCAGAAGGTCACAAAATGGGATCACATGACCCTGGGACATGGCCGCCATCATAAATATGAGTCAGTCACCATGCATCCAAATTTTGATCACATGACCACGGGGATGTTGCAATGGTCGTAAGTGTGAAAAACGGTCATAACTCACTTTTTTCAGTACCATTCAGTGGTGGGATTCAGCCAGTTCACACCAGTTCGGCAGAACCGGTAGCTAATGTTTGGTTGCCCAGGCCCAAAATGGACTTCCGGAAGCGGCATCCACATAGAGAACCGGTTGTTCACATATTTGAACCCCACCACTGGTACCATTGTAACTTTGAACAGTCAGTAAGCGAATTGTTGTAAGTTGAGGACTACCTCTATAGTCTTTTTTTGTCTGCCTCAGTGATTCACATATTATACTACACCAAGTCAAATTTTATATATCAAAGTGTGAATCGTCAGTTTTGCCCTTATGAGACTGCTAGGCATAATTTCATGTCATTGGCTCATCTAGTCAAGTATTACTCATTGTAATAGTCCTTTATGCCTTTAAGTTCCAATATCTGGGATCACTTAATGAACAGAAAGTATTTGCTTCTACTTCATGGAAAATAAGACTTAATAATCACAGGATAATCCTGTTTTTATATAGTAGGAGGATCAAAGTGTAACCATAACTTCCTTTTGGGAGCCTTTGTTCTTGCTATCCAATAACCCATTTTCCATTTGTGTTAAATCCAGAGAGGATCAGTAATAATGGAACCTTCGCTATTTCCCATGCCAGTATAACATAAGCACATGGGGAAAGAGGAACATTAAAGTTGCAGAGAAAAAAAAGCACCTGCAAAATGCTGCAGAGTTGAATAGCTTCGGCATAGATAAATTTCCCTACTTTGGGTTGTTCTTTCTGCATAAGAAAGCAAGCTCTATTTTTTGCTTCTTTTTATATTGAAGAAGCATACAGTATGCATACAGTATGCATGAAGAAGCACACATCAAAGATTGCATATTATCATGTCTTAAATCAATATACAATGTCTCTCGCCTTCTCTTGCCTGTAACATCTCTTCATCTTTTTCTTATCCCTTGTAACATTACTGTATTGTTGATTCCGTTTTTCAAAAAAAGGAACTTTTTTCAGATTTGGGGGATAAAATTCTTGAACATCTAAAAAGTAGAAAAGACATGCACACTAAACTAAAGATTTTAAAGCTCAGATTTATTTATTTTTGACTCGAAACTCAAAATGTTCCACTCCTGATCTGTCTCTGAAACACATTTTGATGATATAGTGGAGAACACGTAGGCTGCAATTGTTAATCAGTTTGGAAGCAGGAATCCTTGCTGATCAAGTACCCAGGGTCTAGTCAAGTATGCATCAATTGGTTTCTGATCAGTCCAGTCCTCATTTTCATTCCCTTCTCACAAGCCGAGACACATATGGCTATGTGAATGTCTTTATTTAAAGGCAGTATGTTATTGCAGCAATAAATTCATTAAAAGGGAAGCCGGGCTCCCACTCTGTGCAACCAGGAATCCAGTTTGCTGCATGTTGATGCTAGATTTCCAACCAACTTTTTATAGTGCAGAACAATAGATGAAGGAAGAAGAGCTAGAAGATGGTAGTTCACATTAGTGCAGGAAAATTAGTTAGCAAGATGGCTTTTAAAAGGGAGATTGAGGTGGGTAGCGGCTGCACAGGTTGTTCCCAGAGCACTTTTTTTCAGAGATTGCATGACCTTGAAACAATAGGTTACAATGGGAACTACTGTTTCCTACCTGACTTGGTATCTCTCCTCTTTGGAGATGTTTTTTTTGCAGAAGTTCCGTTCCCATAGCTTCAAGTTTACTCAGTGCCTACCCAAAACCTCTGCCCTGCCCTCTCCTAATATTTGATAATTACAATGATATTTGATAATTACAATAAAACCACAAGCTGTTCGAACTTGTGTCTGGGAACTGGCCTTGAGCTTAGCACCCCAGGAATGGGCAAATCATCTGCTTGTCACTTAAATTTTGCAAACGGGTGCAGAATTCAGTGGGATATTATCTTTTGTTTCTGTGAACTTTGGAACATCACCTCAGGCTTCTCTGGATAAAATTGGCAGCCTGTCGATTGCAGTTGAAGGCAGTGCTGTGTGATTTCAAAAGCTCCAGCAGAATTGTGCTCTCCCTCTCATCTAGTCACAGCAGTTATACAATGGTTCAGGCTAACCAACTAATTAGTTAGGTGCTTCTCCAATAATGGGCTAATCAACAGAACACTTGTTCTGCAATTTAAAAACTGAAAAAAAACCCCTTTTCAGTGCAAGATAGTACAGTATACACCTTTAATCCTGGCACACAAGAGAACAGGTGTTGACACAATTGCTTCGAAGCAGAGAGGAGTGAAAAATGCCATTGTGAGAGCTAAACCACTTCATTTGCAGCACTGTTTGCAAACTGAATACTTTTTGGTAGTTACCAGGTAACTGGAAATCAAAGAACCGTGTCAGAGGCTGGGACCTCATGATTAACAAATGCTTCCTCTGCTAATAAGCTTACATCTGCAACAAAGTCATAGTGCCTCCTTCCCAACAGAACCATCCCTTCCCCCAAACTCTAGGAAACCTTTCAGTATGGGCAAACTTGGTTTGTGGATTTCAAGGATGGGGAAGGAAGCTTGCAAATGTGGTCTTTCTGATTTGTAAACGTATAAACAGACCAAGCCTTTTTTTAAAAATCAGAATGACAGCGACTCAGAAGTAGAAATCTGTGACCCTGTATCTTCTCAATGCATGAATTTAATCCATAACCTTGGATGGTTTCTAATGAACAGTTCTAGGCCTTTCCTATAAATTGAGCTAAATTATCTATCTGGCAAAAGGAAAAGCAAAGGAAAGTAAGAAATCGGTGCTGACCTATGGTTTTTATTTTAATCCCTGTTTTAAAAAATAATCACCTACCTCTTTGCAAACAGAAGAGAATATATCTGGTCTTTTGGATCTAAAGTATTTAGATCCTACCTGGCCACCGTTTAAGTTCTTGAACATTTCTGGAGGCTGACAGGAAAGCCAAACAAGCAACTTGATCATGTTCTTCCTTCTCTGAAGTTCAGATCTAGTTCCTGTGTTTGGGAGATGGGCAGTGTTGATCTATCCCATGACCTAAAGATTGCTGTTTAAGAATCATGCAATAAAATGTTTTTACTGAAGTTCAGAATTAGGGAAGTAAAATTCTTCCTTCCAGCATAAAGCCTGAACTACTGTGGGGAGTTTACACAATCAATTTCAATCAGGTCTGCTAAAATCTCAGTAAAATGTAATTAATATCTCTAACTGGGATAGGGCTGGTTTCTTGGCAGCACTCATGTTCTGGCAATGAATAAAAATCTTATTTAAGCTTTGGAAATCATCCTAAAATGATAAGGTAACGATGCAATAGAAGAAATAATCGAATACTGAGAGGGAAAGACTCATGTTCATGTATTGATTGCAGCACATTCAGCTGTCCATTTTCTTTTATCTTTTTTCAGAATTGTCAAACCTTTAACAGTCTTAGCACGACAGTCGATGACTGCCCTCAGCAGAACCAGTTCTCCCTTGGCACCAGCAGCAATAACTCATGGGTCACCAACGTAGACATCATGCCTGGCAGGACACCGGCCTGCACCCCTGTGCCAGAGCCTCATTCAAATTCAGAAGAACATCATCCTAACCAGGAAGAAGATTTCTCCTATGAAGACTCAGATTTCTGTGCTACAGAAGATGAGAATAGTAGGAAAGAAGTTGAGAACTCCTCATGGAGGGAGAGTGGGACTGGTGGGGATAACATCTTTCAGTTGGGTGGTGAATTAGATATTGAGCAAATAGAAAACAACTGAGAGCACTAAAGGGGAGGCTCTGCCTGCACCAAGGCATTTAGCAGTGGCAAACTCACACATGTTAATGCAGACCAGAGGAAGAAAATCCGCATTTTCCCTCTCCTTGGCAGGTGAACCAGAACAAAAAGCTTTGCCAAAATTTGTTTAGCTTTTTGGGGGGAATTATTAGAACTACTGTAGCTCTTCATAGAGAAAACTTCCAATGTAACATCAACATATTTAAAAGAAAAAGAAAGCTCTGTGGATATATCAAAACTTGAAAGGAAAGACCAAAAACTCCTGGTCATTTTTTTTTTCAAAGTAGGCTAATTTGCCGCCCAGAGAGTCAGCAGGTCCATCTCCTGATGGGAATGGCATTTGGTAATATAAATAAGCTTTTTCTTTTCTTTTTCTTTCTTTCTTTCTTTTTTTTTTTTTTTTTGCTGTTGGCTGATATAAATTGCACCTCAGCTGTCCTTATCAAAGGAGCAAAAAAGTGGAGATTTAGCGTTATGATTTGAATTCATTTTCTGTTGTTTTTTAGATCACCTATTCATAGATCTTACAAAATCTCACAAATCAAATTTCTCATAATATATGTAAAGTCATAATTCTCAGAATCACAGTAGTTAGTTATGGTCTACTAAACACACACACACACACACACACAGAGAGACATATACATACCAATAACATTATGAAAAGAAAGCACAATGGATTTTTATCCATACTACTAAAAGAGATCTGTGCTTCTTAAGAGGCCTCTTTATCCAAATCAAACATACACAGGTATCCTTTGCAATGCACTCTTACTCATTTTCCCCTGGACCAGATTTAATGGATTGGATGCACACTTTGATGCATGACCTCTAGTTCATTGTTGTTATTAATTTACTGGCAAGAAGAGGACAGAGGCTTTGTCTGGAGAAGTAAAATATTGAGAACATTTTTGCACTCTTGGTATGATTTAGCAGTTGGCATCTGAAAAGGGATCATGGCTCTTATCTGCTATTATCTGGCATGAAGTCTCTTAACTGCATTTTGTACCATTTGTCGTCCTTGGTATATAGCCTATCGCATTCATCAGTAGAAAACAATTAAAGATAAATCTTGTTTTTCATTCATTACTCAGTATTTAGATATTTTCATCCAGTGAAAAGATAAAAGCAATATAGACTATACAGTAATTTGTTACTTCTAGCTTCAGTGAATGACAGTAGCACAATAGTGAGCACTCATGTCACTGTTGAGTGGTTTGCATTTGTTTACAATATGTCACTTTCTGCCATTGCTACCATGGAAGATAAGGATGTATATAACTAAGAGAAAAAGAAAATCCATCCAAAAGAAACCCACTTCCTTGTTTCCTTAACTTACTATAAAAGAAATTAAACTTAGTGAAAAATACAGGCAACCAAATCTTTAAGAGTGCATTATTATTATCTAAAAAAGATCTGAATGCATTATTCAGCATTTCCATTGACTTATGTCACATCAGGCACTGCTCTTTAAGAGCACTGGGAAGCTTAGCTGTAGATGCTAAATGATATCTCCATTAGTTTTCTTATATTCTCCATCCTTTTTAATAACACCCCACTCCAAAGTCTTGATCGATGTTCCTCAATCTCAGTAACTTTAAGAAGTGTGGACTTTACCTCCCAAACTTTCCAGTGCTGGGATTGAAATTCATGTATCTTAAAGTTGAGAAATCCTTGTCTGGGCGACTAGCTCTGTTTTATTTTGGGCTTGGTCTGTCTTGCTTTTATGATGAGCTTTAGGTTTAGATTTTCACTGCGGAAGCAGTTTACATGGCCTTATGTTAGTTACATTAAGTCTTGTGAGAAAGATGTCATCACTCATTGCCTGTTGTGGTATTTATAGACTTTCTCACCCTTTCATTTTATGTCCACACTGATTTTGCTCTTTTCAATCTCGGCTTTCAGTTCTGTGACATATTAAAGCATATTACATATAGTATCCCCAAATTCACTAACCATTTTAGCATACATCTTCAAAAGGTGGAACAAATAATCAAGCAGAACTGGGGTTCTTTCTTCTAACCAGTGGAAATCCTGGTCAGTCACAGCTTCAGGTTCTGTTTTTTCAAAATACATCTACGGTAGTTTATTTCTAGAAACAATTGAATATGCACAAGTATGTTTTTGTGTATGTGTGTGGCTTTTGTAAAATAAGTCTTGATGTTCAGGAGGATAAATTTTGTGCTCCTAAAATCCAAGATAACATAGCAATGTGACAGAAATGCACTCTTCTAAACTTGATGCAGTTTTGACTTGATTGTCAAGATATCTAAAGTAACAGAAGATTTTATTCAATTATAACACCAAACCGTGCTTTTAGTAACAGGCAAACAGACCTTCATTGTCAAAGCATGCAAATTTAAACTGCCAAAAATAGTATTTGCATTTCTCCTCTAAAATAAGATTATAATCCATTATCAGCCTGTCTCTTGCAATTGTTATTTGGTTGGTAAGCACAAATCATAGTTTGCAGATTATGAAACAATAACACATTTATTATGAAGGAGAATGGAATTCAACTTTCCTAGTGAATTGAGTGATTCTTGCATTTTATATTTCATTCTAAGGAAACTTGATCATATAGCTATGTAAACAGGGACAAATGGATCACAGTAGACAAATGAGTTTTAGACTGCATCTATTCAATGCTCTGCTTGACTTTCCATTATATTGCTGGAACATGTGTTTAACCACCATGATCATTCAATACATATTTTAAAATAGCCTTTCTCACTTTAGTATCCTCTAATACATTGTGATTATAATTCTCTGAATTTACAGCAGGCATAGTTTACGTTATGTGGATAGTAGAGAATCTGGGTCTAACTAATACAAAATGCTGTTTGAGATTCTAATATTCACTTGACACTCCAACATTTTCCCTTCCACTTCTTACAGCTTATGTTGAGCAACCAACAATTATAATTTAGCACATAATGACACAGCCAAGTTATTCACTTATGAATGAAAACCAGTTCTTTCTTTATAAAAGAAAAAATAAGAGATGATTTCTTAAAAATGCTATCCTATTTTTACATTTTCCCATAATGGCATTAATGCTTATGGCATCTAAAATCACAGAAGATCTCACCAAAGCTAAAGCTTCACAATTGCTCATTTAAGCTTCATACAGTAGGTTTTGTTTCTTCATATGTTCATTTTTATTATTTTCTGTCTGAAGCTTATGTGACATATAAGCCATAGGTTTTATGCATATACAGATATGCAAGTGAAAATAAATAGTATTATGCTAGAATTCTATTTCCATTCTGGTGCCATGGAATAAGATGGTGGTCTTTATGAAAAGACTCTTTTCATTCTTGCAAAATCTGTTGATTGCAAACCAAGTTAATATACATTGCTTGTTTCAGAAACAGAGAAACGTAGCGGGCAAGTTTTCATAGATTTGAGTTGGACTTAGATTTTGTTTTTATAGTTTGAGCTGAATTAGTTATTTTTAGATCTCACTGTGGGTTATCAGGAACATGACAGATCTGGAGGTCTTCCTCCTCGTGTATCTCTCTTGTAAAACCTCTTGCTGCTTTTGACCCTTCCCTACAAATTTTATCAGGTAGTGGCTTTAATTATGTAGCAATGTTATTATGAACACTGAATGTTAGGAGTTCTGAGAAAATCTGTTAGGTACATTGTATTCATGTAAATGTGTTTGGATTCATCATGGGCACAAAGCTCCTAAAATTGTACTTCTACCAACCTTCTGTAATTCCTGAAGGTTTGGGTTTTCACAAAACCATATTCCAGTCCTTCCTCCAGTTTTTGGTGTAAAGATAAAAGAATGGTTTGGTGTATATATGTCTAACTGACTCAAAGCCAAATCCACATTTTGAATTGTTAAGAATTTCCAAGGCAAAATTCTCCACTTTCAGACTTCAGTTCCATAAGTAATGTGACTGCTAAAGTTAATCCTTCCTGAACAAATGAAAGCTTATAAGGCACACTGAAAGAAGATGCTTGGCAATTCACACACAAAAGAAGATTTTGTTTTTTTCCTGACTTTTACTCTGCTACAAAAGTATTAAGATAGTTTGGTGTTCTGCTTTACAGAGAGGAACTTCTGTAGCCTACAGAGAGGAACTTCTGTAGCCTAAACACAAAGCTATTGCTGCTGCCCTTCGCAACACCACTCCAAGGAATCACATTTTCTTCTTGAGAATTTCTTCCTACATGGAAGACCTGGAGAAAGAGTCAGTGGAATGAATGGCAGAGGGGGTTGGATAATACAGTAAATGAGAAAGAATAAAAATATGTGTGAGGCATGCAAACTCATTTTTAACTACAAGATGCTTACAACTATTACTGAGGACAGAACCAGAGTCACATGGTGCTATAAAATTTGCCGTTGTTCAAGTGATATCCAAGCTCTTACTAGAGAGGTAACATTTCTATTGAGTGTAATAATTAAATACATTTATGCTGACAACCTAAGCCTGTTGTTTATCACCTGGATATCACTATGGGCAAAAATTACAATGGCAAATGAATCATCTTTAATTATTGATATACACAGAGTGCAGTTTGTAGGGTATATGCAAGTATGTATACCATGTTATTAGATGCAGTTTTGGTTGTATAACATCTGGACAACCAATCAGGTGGCTATGGCCAAAAGAGCTTACTCAATGCAAATTTGAATAATAGGTTTGATATTCAGGCTATATGTGTATCATCAGAGATCTGTTAAGCAGTGCTTGAAAATTCCTACATGGCAAATTGTAATAGGCACTCAAATGGATTATTATTTAGGCTATTAACTATTTTAGATACGGCATACTGATCTATATTTGTTTTCTGCATAGCTGTTCCTATTTTTTTCTTTGAAAAAAAAAAGCACTGTGCAAATATAACATGCAGCATTTTGCTCTGGTACTGTTAAAATAATTGCAAATTTTGGATCAGATCCATATCATGATTGTGGTTGTATATATATTTACATCAAAGTAAGTGAGTTTGGTGTGACTTACTTCTGAGTAAATGTGTAGGGTTGTGCTGTAAGTTATCTCATTAATTTCAGTAAGTGGTATCTTCATTTCATTTAATCTGGATCCTACCCACTGGATTTATTTTCCATTTTATTGCATGGTTCTGTCAAAATTCTCTCCACCATCTTGGATTACATAGAGATTTTTTTTTTACTAAACATTACCTATCCTCAGAGAAATGGTTGCCTGTCTGCTGTGCACAAATATAGCC